CGCCTAGGCTGCACTGTCGAGCGCAGATCCACTGAGCGCTCAACACAGACAGCATCGTCAGAAGAAAAGTTGATAAAATAAATATAAAAATTTTGTATTGTTCATACATATGCTTACCGAACCGGAACCGGCATTTTTAGTGCTGAAGTTAAAAAAATTACCAAGCTAATTATTTCCCACAGGCCTTGCAGGAGTCTCATCTGCTCCCTCCTATTCATGCAGAATAAAAAATACAAAACCCTGACACAAAATCTTTGGTCAGATAGTTTGAAAATGTTCTTTCTCAAAGAAGAAGTCATAGGAACAAAGTGAAATCCTCCAGAGTCTTTTGGAAGATGTAATTCACATGTGGTTGAAATTTCATTTGTGATGCTTCTGTGGTTCTTATAATTTGCCAAACGAGCTAATACAATAATTGTAATTTGATCCTCAGATCCAGGTAGCGTTGAGGCACAAGTCAGAAATTGAGCATCATCGTAACAAGATTCGTCTTCGCGCCAAGAGGAAGGGCCACTACGACTTCCCAGCTATGGATGACATAGGCGGTCTTGGCGATGCAAAGGATCCGGATCGTATTTATCGCAAAGAACAGATGCAAATCGATAAGATCCTGGACCCGGATGCTCAGATGCCCTCCGTCTTCATGGAACCCAAGAAAAGGTTAGAGGTTATGAATTTTTGACTTTTTGGTGGAGAACTTGATTTTCTGTGCATGCTGATAATATGTTTCTCCCTTTCTTCACGTGTTTCTAAGTGGTCGAGGCAGGCGCTCACCAAAGCAGAGGATGAAAGACCAGATGAATGGAGGCATGATGGAAGCAGACAAAGACCACCTCATCACTGAAGACACTGATGCTGCTTACAGAAAGTGCCCCGGGGTCAACAATGTGGCTTATGTGGTGAGTAACGCAGAAGAGGTAGGAAAAACTTTCACAGACCCTGCAACCTTTCTGACTTCTTTGCCGTCTATGTTTTCCAGTCGGACCCTGACCAAGGCCCAGGATCCCCTCACAGGAGTCCTTCCCCCACAGACGACGTCTTCCCAGCCCCCACTTCCTCTCCTCCCGGCCATGCCCCTCCCCCACCACCGTACATGCCCCCACAGCCCTCCATCGAGGAAGCACGGCAGCAGATGCACTCCCTGTTGGACGACGCCTTCGCTCTTGTGTCACCCACTTCTCAGGGCAGCACTGCCGGGATCACTCTCCCAGGGGTCAACAGCAACCCTCCTAACTCTAGCCCTCCAGGTCATGGGCCGAGACCTTGGGGTCTTTCCTACCAAGCTTTCCCGAGCGTAAGTTGGCGTCTGTGTACAAACGCTCTGGCTGGAGCATCGTCCATCCAGTCAGCTATAAATAATTCAGCTGCCATATTGCATGGAACAAGAATATGTGTTACAAACAGAAACAGTGGGAGACACAGCTTTGCATTCACTATCACCTCACTTTCTTAAGGTGTTTTGCTCTCCTGCTCAGCATGAAGTCTATTGCTTCCAGTATAATCACGTCCTCTTATCAAAGCACTGACTTAAGTATTCCTCCATCTGTTGCAAGGTGCAACCTTAACCCCCCCTACCCCCACTGGCTATGTAGAGCTCCTAAGACCCTTCAGTGATATAGCCATCACCCACGTAATCTTTATTAATTCCTGTTAGTATAGGCTACTTTCAAAGAAACTGCTTGGAAGGCTTTACAAAGCGAGGCCGGTTTATGCAGCGCCAACCTCTGTTATTAACACTTCACTACGGCAGCATAAAACTATTTATGTGCAATTATCCCCGGCTTTGAAATCCATGAGGTAGAGGGCTTAGCTGAAATTAAGGTTGTTTGTGTAAGAAGAAGAAGAAAATCTAATCAGTACTTTGTGCAAAAATCTACTCTAAACAAAAACAAAATAGAAGCGTTGTATGGCTGTTCTATGGTCCAGATCTAAATGTGTCACTTCATTCATTCATTCCCTGGAAGTGCAGCCTTAAAGATTTAATCCCAGACTGCAGTGAACACATTTTCACTCTCTGAATACACTTTTTAATGGCTTTCTTATCTTTCATGCTGTTTTACAGCTGTTAATAACAATACTTTGTCCTCTATCCAACACGGGTGCTCACCCCAGAAGAGTGAAAGAAACACTGAGCAGTGCAGCCATAAAAAGCCCTTTGATGGTGCTTTTATATACTATTAAAAATATGGATATCCAACAAAACTTTAATGAAAATAACAATGTTCTCTATGTAAAATAACCACCAACAGTACAGTAAATTGTAACACACACAGCAGGCTGTGTTCACATAAGAATAACTGCATCAACTAAAAATCTTTTTTGCATTTCTTTTCCAATATTTGTATCACTACACCCTGATGCTTCGTAAAAACAGTTCACTGTTTATACCTGAGACCTCTGTCATCACTGGTACTTGATCATTGTCACTTAAACACAGCACATCTCTGTTGCTCTTCCCCAGAGGTTCCCTGAGATGTCCTCTGCTGCAGTACAAGGCATGGCAACAAGGTCAGTAAAGCAGCTGAAAATAGAGTCGCTTTCCACGTGTTCTTCATACCCCAAGAGGTATTTCCTGTTTATAATTACAGGTGAACTTTCACCCGTGTGGACATTTTCTTTAGTTTACATTTATAGAGTTGAGCCTCATGAATAATGAAAAAGAGTCTTCTTTATTTTATTGTTTCAATGGATCTAATAGACTCTGAAAAGGCTGCACATGTACACACATGTAGAGTATCAGCTGTCAACCATTTGTGTTTCCACTATTTGGTACCAAATTGTGAAATGCTTGACTATCAGGTTATTGATTGCACATATAGGAAGGACTCCCTGTGATTAGAAATGTTAAAAAAAAGTAGCACAAATACACACACAGTATGAAATGTCTCCATGTTCAGTAACAGTGCAAAAAAGGGGGAAAATCATCATCTGCTGCTAGTCAAGTTGTTTACTTTAAACTGACCCAGAATTCAGCTATTGGTGCGTCCCTATATCTTCTTAAATCATAAATGAGTTTTTGGTCTGTGTTTCAGGCAGGGCCTTGGCTCGAGCTACCTGCCACCAGGAGAAACAGCAGGGCACGGTGAGCAGCTCCAGCCAGACAGCCTGTACTCCAGCAGGGGCCTCTACGCTGATGAACTGCCCTCATCTGCCAGACCGCGTCCAGTGGGAGGAACCACAGGTACACAAGGAAGTTCGATAGCATCACACAAATGCAACATTAACACAACAATATTTTATGTTCAGGCTGTTGGCCTGCCCCGCCCCCAACAAAGCTCATGGTGTCCACTCATTTCTGCATCTCGTTTTCAATTTTTTTGCAGATTTTTATTTAAATAGGAAAAAAGGAAATGCACATCTTAAGCAATCATGCTTAAAGATAGGCAAGGCAAGTTTATTTGTATAGCACAATTCAACAACAAGGTGATTCAAAGTGCTTTACAGATATATTAGAAACAAAAACAATGATTTAAAATTGATTAAAACAAGCAAACTAACAAACTAACAAACAAACAAACAAACAAAACAGTATATAAAATTAAAAAATCAAAACAGATAAAATCAG